ACAAACAGAGTAAAGTGCTACAGTCCAGAATTCTTGAACAACAGCTAGAAGACGGATTCTGTGGAAAAAGGAATCCCTCCTTAAACAATTGGGTATGTCCAAACACCCATTCCAATGAGGAATCTTCAAATCACAATCTTCATTCAAAATTGAAGCCAGCAAATGCAACGGATAGTCTATTTTGATTCAACGGATAGATTATCCAATCCAGCTATAAATAGCATCCTTGGAAGACTGGAAAAGATAATAACAACAACAACAACGATAAGATAAACAACCACAACAAAGCTACCTCATTCACAGTTAGACCAAAAAGCTTGATAAAGAGAGATTTCTAAACTCCTTATTCAGAAGCACACTTCTCCTCCTTTCAAAGAGCTATAGTGTAAATACTTGAAGGTTTTCTTGCCTCAAGTACCACACCACGTTGAAGGATACAACTTTTGATCAAACTTATTGATTGAAAGGGGGTAGGTCAACTTTCTTACAAGTTGGTCTTGCAAGTCCTATTGTTCGGACCTTGCAGTTGTTGAAGAAGCGTGACCTTTGAAGGAACAACAAAGCCAGCACGAGTGCAGTAGCAACATTGGCCTTGCGAAGATATACCGTGCAGAAATTCACACGAGTGTAATTGTTGGTTCATTATTCAACAACCAACTACATAGTGGATTTTGAGGACGTAGAAGGATTACCCCACCTTCGAACCTCGTTAAAGTTTGCGTGTCTCTCTCTTTTATCTTTTTTCTTACTTGCAATTATATTAACTGTGAAAACTAACCCATCCATATTGATTACTGCTCACTCTACCCACCAAATTCCGCACACAATCTAAAGTTCACAAGAACTCTAGATTAATACTCATTTTCACGTTTTCAAAAGAAAGGAAAAAATTTAAATTTGTAACAAAGTCTATTCACCCCCCCTCTAGACTTTGTATCTCACCACTTTGGGACCACCAACCATTGTTCATCGTAGTGTTCTTTCTAGGTGGTCTAGTGTTCCTAGTTGTTGTAGGTTGTCTATTATTGCTCATTTTAGTTTTCCTAGGTTCAGCCTTAGGTTGTTTAGGTGGTTGCTCAACTTTTTCCTTATTATTATTAGTTTCATTTTCAAACCCCAAGCCATGTTTAGTAACTTGCAAATTGTCAAGAACATCATTAAGGTTTTTATGAGAAACACCAACTTCTTCAAGGTTCCTTCAAGTTTTGCAACTTGTTGCTTAAGTGATGTACAAGAACTACATTTTGAACTTTCCAGTTTGTCGGTGCTTCTCTTTCCGAAAAACTTATTTTCTTCTTTAAGTTTTTCGTTATCTTTTGATAGTTTATCAACTTCCTTCTCCATGGAAGTAAGTTGTTTCTTCAAATCCTTGCTAATTTTAGAAGCGTTGACATATTCATCATAAAGTTCATTAAAGGCTTCTTGTACATCATCAAAAGTATATGAATATTTAGAAGTGGTACATACTTCTTCCGGTGGTTCCTCGTGTGCCATGAGGCAAAGGTTGGCGCTTTCATTTTCTTCGCCTTCCGATGACTCGTCGCTGGAATCACCTCCCCATGAGATGTCAGCTAGGTGCTTCTTGAATGGTTTCTTCTCCTTCTCGTTTTTGGCATTTGGGCATTTTGGCTTGATATGCCCGATTTCTCCACTCCCATAGCATTTGGGTGGTCCTCCATGTTTCTTGCCCTTTCGTTCATACTCTTTTCGCATGAACTTGTGGAATTTCTGGATAACGAGCCCGAACTCGTTGTCTTCATCACTTGATTCCTCCATGGCGGGTTTAATTGGCTCGAGGAAGCCTTGAGTGCAATCCCCTTCTTCGTTTGTTCACCTAAAGAGGGGAAAAGGATGGTAGACTCATAGGTTTTGAGGTTACCTCTAAGCCCGTCGATGGTGATGTTGGTGATGCCGATGGACTCTTGGATGGCTTCGGCTTTGGAGCGCCATTCCAGTGTGAGACTCCGCAGGATTTTTCTCACAAGCTCCTTGTCCGTGTACGTCTTCTTGAGAGCATGGAGATCATTGACGATTTCGGAGAATCGTTCAAATATCTCATCAATTTTCTCATTCTCCTTCATACGAAACAATTCATATTCATGGGTTAGAAAATCGATTTTAGGTTCTCGGACTTGATCCGTACCTTCATAGGTGATTTCTAGTTTGTCCCACATTTCCTTGGCGGTGGAACAACAAGAAATCTTCCGGTAGTCATCCGGGTTTACGGAACAATAGATGATGTTGATGGCCTTTGCATTGTTCTCCACTTTCTTGATGTCTTGCGCATCATACTCATCCTCGGTCTTAGGGACGTTGGTTTCCCCGACCTTCTCCATGGGCACATCTTTTCCGTTTTTGATAATCCTCCACAGGAGAAAGTTGGTGGATTGGAAATTGGATATCTTGATCGGAAATGTCAGAGACAAGTAAGGATCTCTAAAAGCAGACGAGAATCCTTCTATCCGGAAGACTACATGAGAACCGGATGTCTCGCTACAACCCGCTGAAGGCTAAGTCGGAAGACTAGCACGGATTTCTTTCTCACCCGGAAGACTGAGTATGGCTCTTTCGGATTTGTCAGCTAAGAACCGGATGCCTCAAAAAAGACCGGAATTCTCAAAAAGCGGACAAGTGAGAAAAGACTTAGAAAATTATCTAAGTCTTGAATGAAGAAATTCTACCCGTTGGTAAGGAAAAATCAATCTCTTGATTTTCAACGGCTAGATTGAAGATAATTACGCTGATTCAAGAACAAATGACTCGAAGACAAAGTCTGGACCTCTAAAAATTGAAGAACCTGTCCAGAATTCCTAAACAAGCACTAGAAGACAAACAGAGTAAAGTGCTACAGTCCAGAATTCTTGAACAACAGCTAGAAGACGGATTCTATGGAAAAAGGAATCCCTCCTTTAACAATTGGGTATGTCCAAACACCCATTCCAATGAGGAATCTTCAAATCACAATCTTCATTCAAAATTGAAGCCAGCAAATGCAACGGATAGTCTATTTTGATTCAACGGATAGATTTTCCAATCCAGCTTAAAATAGCATCCTTTGAAGACTGGAGAAGAAAACAACAACTCATCAACGATAAGATAAACAACCACAACAAAGCTACCTCATTCACAGTTAGCCCAAAAAGCTTGATAAAGAGAGATTTCTAAACTCCTTATCCAGAAGCACACTTCTCCTCCTTTCAAAGAGCTATAGTGTAAATACTTGAAGGTTTCCTTGCCTCAAGTACCACACCACGTTGAAGGATACAACTTTTGATCAAACTTATTGATTGAAAGGGGGTAGGTCAACTTTCTTAGAAGTTGGTCTTGCAAGTCCTATTATTCGGACCTTGTAGTTGTTGAAGAAGCGTGACCTTTGAAGGAACAACAAAGCCAGCACGAGTGCAGTAGCAACATTGGCCTTGCGAAGATATACCGTGCAGAAATTCACACAAGTGTAATTGTTGGTTCATTATTCAACAACCAACTACATAGTAAATTTTGAGGACGTAGAAGGATTACCCCACCTTCGAACCTTGTTAATGTTTGTGTGTCTCTCTCTTTTATCTTTATTCTTACTTGCAATTATATTAAATGTGAAAACTAACCCATCCATATTGATTACTGCTCACTCTACCCACCAACTTCCGCACACAATCTAAAGTTCACAAGAACTCTTGATTAACACTCATTTTCACGTTTTCAAAAGAAACGAAAAAGTTTTAAATTTGTAACAAAGTCTATTCACCCCCCCTCTAGACTTTGTATCTCACCACTTCGGGACCACCAATTGGTATCGGAGCAAACTTCTTACTATCTACTTTTAGATTAACGAGAAGCGATCATAATGGTGAACAATATGGATCATGGTTTGCCCAAGTTTTCTCTTCTAGGTTATGATGATTGGAAGATCATGATGGAAGCACATCTCTACGCTCTACATGATTGCATGTGGATGGTACTTGAGGATGGACCCTTGAAAATCCAAATGGAGAACCCTGAGAGGAATCCAGCTACTCCAGATGTAGTCAAGTACGTTCCAAAGCCATGGAAAAATGGGATGATAGAGATTGCAAAAAGCACAATCTGGACAACGTCGCCAAAGCAGCCATCTTCAAGACACTTCATCCCATCACCTTCTCCAAGATTAAGCATCTCAAGACTGCCATGGAGATTTGGCAAGGTCTTGGGAAGCTATGTGAAGGATCAGAGGACCTGAGAAAGTAGAAGATAGAAGTCCTGCTTGAGAAGTTCAAAAGCTTCAAAATGCTTCCTGGAGAATCATTTGATTTGTTGGATGAAAGATTCCACAAGATATTGAATGATCTTGCTTCACTTAACCACATTCTTTCTCCCAAAGAAAAGAATGTAAGGTTGCTGAGATCACTCCCAACATAGTGGTACACCAAAGCAACAGCCATGGAAGAAGGAAGAAACCTAGAGAACTACACTGTTCAAGGTCTCCTTGATGAACTCAAAACCTATGAGCACGAGCTGAAGAAGAAGAAGGAAGAACAAGTCAGTCCCTTCCCCATGGCATTGATGACAACTCCAAGAATCCCATCAAGTGAAGGGACATGCACAAGAAACTGTGACACACCTTCCTCCAGCTAGCCGTCAAGCTCAAAAATGGAGAACTTCGATGAGGAATTTGCCATGATGGTCAAGCAATTCCGGAAGTTCAAGAAGTTCTTCAAGAAGGTTGATTCAGTCAGAAGGCCATCCAAGGGAAAGCCACAAGTGACTCTCCTCCTGAATCTTATTTATGCTATAACTGCAGGAAGCCTGGCCACTGGAAGTCAGCATGCCCGTACCCAAAGGTGGAGAAGTACGGAGAAAGAGAAAGGAACGAGAAGAAAAAGAAAGCAATGGTTGCTGCTGAAAGTGACGAGTCATCAAGCTCAAGCTCGGATGAAGAAGCCCTCGTCTGCATGGAGTGCAGAGTTGAGAAGTCCAACCATGAGGATAGGTGGACTATGTCAGAAGATGACACTCTCTGCCTAATGTCCAAAGATGATACTGATCAAGAGGTAACCTCACAAACCTCCTGCTCATCTTCTTATAGCATAACAACCTCTGAAAATCTTTTTGACCAGTTCAAAAAGATGATGAAAGATTTTGAGGAGATAAATCTCAAACACTCATCCTTAACAGAAGAGAACAAACTATTGAGTGAAGAGAATCTCAAGTTCACTGAAAGTCGGAAAAGTCAACTAAATGAGATCACTCAACTCAAGACTGAAAATGAATCTCTCTCTGAAAAGGTAAAATCCCTTGACAAAGAGCTAGGGATACTTAAGGTTAAAGAAGCAGTGAAGAAGCTTCTTGAAACGACCAAACACAAGGGTCGCAAAGGACTTGGGTTTGACCCCTCTAGTTCCAAAAGGAAAGGGAAAACAACTTTCATCCCTCCTAAACCTACTGCCAAACCAAATAAGCAGAAAGGGAAGGAAAAGGAGAAACCAACAGAAGTTCCCAAAAAGGTAGTCCCTCCTAAGAACTATAGGAAGCTGGACAGACCTCAAAAAGGAAACAATTTCAGAAGGAAACCTTCTAACCCCCAATATACACGAGGCTATACTCATCATGGGGTAGACAGGAGTTTTCCCAGAAATTCTGAGTGGAGAACTATGCCAAGATATAGTCATCCTCCACCCCAAAAACTATTTGTGCCACCTAAGTATGCTTATAACCGACACAGGTCACACTATGCACAACCTAGACAAAACTATAGGTCTTATCAACCTAGGTTTGCTAGGAGGAAACAAGAAATTGCACCTCCTGCACGTAAGAAGTTTTATGCCTACAACTATGATTACAATCCCAACAAGTTTAGAGCTACAAGGAAAATTTCCTGCAATTTTAAACTTGATGTAGGGACAAACACCATTAACCATTCCGGACCCAAACTGAAATGGGTACCAAAATCTTCCCCCTCCTAATGCAGAAAGCCGCTAAGTACCCAGGTGTCTGGTACTTAGACAGTGGCTGCTCAAGACACATGACGGGTGATGCGAGCCTTTTGAGCAATCTAATTCCATATGATGGTCCAAGGGTTACTTTTGGAGGAAGCAACGATTTTGGCCTTACTAAAGGGCTAGGAAATCTGGTGTACAAGGGACTAACCATCCAAGCTGTATCTTATGTTGAAGGACTCAATTATAACCTTCTTAGCATAAGTCAGTTTTGTGATAAAGGTTACTCCTTGGAATTCTGCAAGGACATNAACATCTATGAAGTGATATGGAACGATGTCAAGGAAGCATGTCTAATCAGCAAAGGTGACACTAACCTTCTATGGCTTTGCCATACGAGGTTGAGTCATCTCAACTTCAAAACTCTCAACAAGCTATCCAAAGAAGGGTTAGTAGAAGGCCTTCCCAAAGCTGTATTCAGGAAGGAAAGCATTTGTGATGCTTTCCAGAAAGGAAAGCAAATCAAATCTACTTTCAAGGCAAAACCGGCATGCTCAACTACAAGGATATTAAGTCTTATTCACATGGACTTATTTGGCCCTGTTACGCCAATAAGTCTAAGTGGAAAGAAATATGTTCTGGCGGTAGTTGATGATTACTCAAGATACACGTGGACAATCTTCCTCAACAGCAAGAAGGAGACTCAAGGGAAACTCACCAACTGCATGAAGCTGATTCAAAACCAAGCAAGTCAGACCATTCAGAAGATCAGATCTGACAAAGGCACAGAATTCCTGAATGAAATCATCATTCATTATTGTGAAAAAAACGGAATTGTTCATCAGACATCCGCAGCAAGGACGCCTCAACAGAATGGTGTAGCGGAAAGAAGGAACAGAACCCTGAAGGAAGCAGTGAGAACAATGCTAGCAGAAGCTTCTTTACCAAAGAGGTTCTAGGCTGAAGCTGTTAACACGGCTTGCTATACTCAAAATAGGAGTATGATTTATAAAAGGCACAACAAAACTCCCTATGAACTATGGAACGGGAGAAAGCCTAATATATCATATTTCCACATTTTTGGGAGCAAGTGCTTTGTGTTAAACAACGGGAAGAATCATCTGAACACTTTTGATGAGAAATCAGATGAGGCCATCTTCCTTGGATACTCTACGGTGAGCAAGGCATTCCGAGTCTTCAACAAAAGAACCATGATCACTGAAGAGTCAATACATGTTATTTTTGATGAAAAGCATGTGGTTGACAAACCATCAAAGCATGAACAAGAGGTTCTGGATCTATCTGACAAGGATGAAGAAGTCAATGAAGGAGATAGAATGAAGCCTACGGAGTTGATTCCATTCAGAAGTCTACCACTGAAGACTTCACAGAGAAATCCGGATTCAAACAGTGCTGAGCCTTCCAATATTCCGGATCACTCAAACGGCGACAATTCCAGAAATGGCGACCAAGTGCCAATCCATCCGGAAACACCAACAACTTCTGTTCTTCAACCAGAAGCTGAACTAGATCAACCAGTCAATCCTAATCAACACAATCTTCGTTGGTTAAGGGATCACCCTCCCCAACAAGTCATTGGAAATATTCAATCTGGTGTTCGCACAAGAAGTGCTCAGCAGAATCTAGAAGCTATGCTTGCTTGTTTCATCTCACAAGTGGAACCAAAGAATATTGAAGAAGCTCTAGCTGATTTTGATTGGATCAATGCAATGCAAGAAGAACTCAACCAATTCTCCAGAAATGACGTCTGGAAACTTGTTCCCAGACCTACTCATCAGCATGTCATTGGAACCAAGTGGGTCTTCCCGAACAAGATGGATGAAAACGACGTTGTTATCAGAAACAAAGCCCGGTTGGTTGCCAAAGGATATTCTCAAGAAGAAGGTATAAATTTTGATGAAACCTTCGCTCCAGTTGCTAGACTTGAAGCTATAAGGCTGTTTCTAGCCTTTGCTGCTCATAAGGATTTCAAAGTCTAACAAATGGATGTCAAAAGCACATTTCTCAACGGAAACCTCGAGGAAGAAGTTTATGTGGAACAACCTCCAGGATTTGAGTTACACACTAAGGGAGATCAAGTGTATAGACTCAAAAAGGCGTTGTATGGACTCAAACAAGCTCCGAGAGCTTGGTATGATACATTGTCTCAATTTCTTATAAACAATGGATTTATCAAAGGAGTCATTGACAAGATATTGTTCAAACTACAAGACGGAGAAGATCTCCTGTTAGTCCAAATCTATGTGGACGACATCATATTTGGCTCAACTAAGGAAGATCTCTGCACCAAGTTCTCAACCCTCATGCAAGAAAAATTTGATATGAGCATGATGGGGGAACTCAACTACTTCCTTGGCCTTCAAATCAAATAGAGAAGTGAAGGGACTCTCATCAACCAAGCCAAGTACACAAGGGATCTTATCAAGAAATTCAAAGATGACTAGAAGTCATCCGTTTCTGTCCCCATGAGTACATCCACCAAGCTTGATATGGATGTAGATGGAAAGGATGTAGATCGAACTCTCTACAGAGGAATTGTAACGCTCTACGACCCGGTCTATTAGAATTGATTAATCTAATTAATTAATTACTAACTCGGACCGGGGTTTGAAAAATAAAATCCTTAGAAAGAAATTATTTGATTATGTCATAATATTCGTTTTGACTGTCTGATTCCAGAAACGTAAACGGATCTCAATTCGGACCCGTTCGGGGAAAATACCACGTACCGATCAGGTAAGATTTTATACAACAGAGTGGAATTTAGGGAGATAACTCCCATTCAAACAACATGCCACTACACTCCTCATTTTCCATAACCCCCCATCATTATTTTCTCCATTTATTTCTCATAAATCCCCATTACTCTTCTCTTTCAATTTAAACCCATTCCAATCCCTTTCCTTAGCATTTTGTAACTCCCAAGGCATTCACACACCCTCTCCCTCTTCCCCTTGCATTTTTGGCCAGTTCATAGCAGCCAGGCGAGGTAGTTTCCGGCGAGAAGGAGAAGAAGAAGGGAGAAGGGAAGAAGGGCTACGCGAGAAGCCATCCGTTCATCGTTCGTTGTCCGTTCGTTAGCCGTTCATTCATCCGTTACCGTTATCGTAAACCTCTGCGTTTAGAGGTGAGTACGTTGCCCTCTAACTTTAGAATTCATAGTGTAACCATATCGTTATATTCATAGGATTACCGGCTAAACCTACATGCACCCACATCGTCGTGACTTTTCGGTTATTAGGCCTTTCGATTACACACTTGTTAGTATAAACGTTACAAAACGTTGCAAACTCATCAATACATAAGCTGGAAACATAAACGTTCATTTCTAAAACCCTCAACGTCTTAATGAAAATCCAACAGGCAAAAATAGGAACCAGCGTGCCTTAACAATCGATTTACAAAATCTGACAATCGATTAGTAGGTCGCGCTGAACTCCTCACTTTTTTTAAGCAAGACGTGATAATCGATTATCACATTGCTGATAATCGATTATTGGGTCCTGCGGAATCTCAAGTTTGGGCTGGTTCTTTTGACAATCGATTATCACATACCTATAATCGATTATCAGGCCCCTCTGAACTTGGGTGTCCTGAACAAATACTTTGACAATCGATTGTCATGAGGAGACAATCGATTATCATGGCTTGCGGAACTTGGGAACAGGAACTGCGTAACATGATAATCGATTATCAGATGTGGTTAATCGATTATCAGCCAGTTCTAAACCCAGGTCCGCCATGTTGAACAAGTTGTTTACATATGGAACCGAATATTTTTGCATGCGTTGAATATAATTTCACTCTCCAACCCATGCATTCATATCATCATGTATATCCTAGACGCATGTTTAGGACCATGGCATACGTTGCATACCACGGCGAGGGGTCAGGCCCAGTGCGCCTCTTCCGTGGGCCCGTCCAAGAACCTGCGGGATCCATCGAGTTTTCATCATGAGGGCTTGTGTACGTACATGGTAGCTAGGCATAGCTATCACCCACATTCTAGTCTCCATTGGGATGACTAAGGCGTTCCTCGGCTCATCTACCGCGTGGGGATGATCACCGAAGGGCAGGGGGTCCCTGCGCAGTCTAACTCATGCATCATGTTGTTTGGTATTGCATCATTGATAATTGTAAACCTTAATCCGTTAAACTTGTATGTGGTATCTCATACTTAGTTCAGGTACGATCATGTCTATATCAATGTGAATGTGCTATGCGTTCTACTGTTAGATTACCACTCCGCTTTTGCTGAGCGTATAGCGTTGTTTTCCCTTTGCTATATGCAGGTAGGCAAGAGAACCATGGAGCCTGACCCGGATGACTGGGTGATAGGAGCTGCGGATGAACGACAGTGCGGGCCAGATGAATTACTTATTTTATGAAAACGTTTTGGGCATGAACCCACCTTTTGTCGCATTTACGCTATTTATGACCTAACAGTTTTACTTACATTTACTTCTGCTATAAACTTCTTTTAAGTGAATCCATCCTCATCATTTAATAAAGCATGTCAAGGGTTTTCCGTTACAAGCCACGCAAGGGGTGTTCCTTGTCGACGGGCTGAAAACCGTCTACGTAACCTCTCCGGCACGTTGGACCGCGGTGAACCGGGTTCGCGGGATGGAGGGTGTTACATTTTGGTATTAGAGACCATTACGGTTCTAAAAAAAACTTTTGAAACCCAATTTTTGAAAAAAAAAATACTCTTCAGAACCCACTGTCGCATCCCGCTTCGTATCTCCACCGGGAAAGGTAACCGTATCATCTGAGTTATTATTATTGTTATTACTTAACTTGAGAGGAAATCTCCTTCCAGAAAGGAGATGAGTCAAGCTCCCGAGCATGGACAAGTTGGTCCTCAGGGAGAACAGGAGCACGTGAGTGTGCATACCGTGGCGTCTAGCTTCACACCGCAGCACGAAGTTCCGGAGCCGCAGGTTCCACAACCGAATGCTGTGCCACATGCGGTTCCTTATTTGCAGCCGCAGATTGCGGCCAACATGCTCCAGTTCCTCCAGCAGATGGCTGGGCGTATGTACCACCACTGCCACCGCCACCTCCTGTGGTGGTGGTCACGATTGAGAAGCTGAAGAAGAACGGAGCCGAGGAGTTCTGTGGTGACCAGATCGCGGAACCCATGGCCGCGAAACACTGCCTCGAGCGTGTGAGTCGAGTACTCGGGACCTTACGAGTTCCAGCAGAGCAGAGAGGCGACCTAGCTATCGCCTTACTTCAGGATGTCGCCTACGACTGGTGGAAACGCGCAGGAGCGAACATCCCGAAGCCAGTGCCGTGGGCGACCTTCGACGAGCTCTTCCGTGAGGAGTATGTGCCCGAGCACTTCATGGAGGAGAAGCGTGACGAGTTCATGAAGTTCACGCAGGGTGAACTTACGCTGCCAGAGTATCACCAGAAGTTCGATGAGCTGGCTGAGTTTGGTTGGGACTTGGTGCCGACAATGGAGAAGAGGTGCAAGTGCTTCAGGGAGGGGTTACGCCCTGATTTGTCCTCCGGACTGGTCTCCGCACCGAGGAATGACATCAACGACTTGTACAAGCAGGCGTTGGAGTTACAGACGGCCTTACTCAGGAAGGCTGAGTATGAGCAGTCCCAGACGACGCATCCTCGACCGCCACCGCCATCCAGATCTGGCTCGAGCAGCAAGAGGCCTCCTCACATACCGAGCAGCTCGCACTCGAGCAAGAAGGTTAGGTCCGCACCAGCCGCGTCGTCAGCACCCACTCAGAAGAGTGGGAAGAGCCAGAGTCAGAGCAGATATCGGAACTTGATCTGCAACCTCTGCGGCCGGAGGCACTCCGGTGAGTGCTGGTTCACACAGGGCAATTGCCTTGGGTGTGGACAGGCCGGGCATTATCGCAGGAACTGCCCAAGAACGAAGACCGTAGTCTTAGTGTTGTTGAGTCGGTCATAATTGTGATCAAGACCGACCCAACCTTTACACCTTGGCTCTTTAGGCTAAAATTCTTTTCATTGCATTTCACACATCATAAAAATGCTTTTCAAACATGTTTAAAACATTAAAAACACTTGGTGTTCGCCCAAACCAAAAATCAAGCCATCCGGCGTTCGGGTTTCAGAAACCGGCGTTCGGCATTCGGTTTTCGGCGTTGGTTTTTGGCATCCGAACTAACCAAGTGGTTTTCAACTTTTTATGAATGGTTTTTACTTCTGGGAACATTTAAATAGTTTTCCATTAAAAACACTTCAAAAACCACCTTTCGTTTTTTGTCGTTTGATAAAAACCACGCGAAATGGCATAAACTTGGCTAGCCGTGGTTTTCACTTAAATGAAGTGGTTTTCGAGTCTTTTTTTGTGGGAATTGTTTTTGAATGCATTTAAATGGTTCTCCAATCAAAACATCATGAAAACCACCTTCCGGTTTTGTCTTTTGGTGAAAACCACCCGTGTACGGTGTTGACTTGGTCAACCATGGTTTTTACCTTAACGACGTGGTTTTCAACTTACAAAGCTTGTTTTGACATCAAAA